TTCTGCTATTATTTTGTTATTCTTTGCACTGTAAAGCCTTCATTACTAACAAGAATTCAGAGATACAGATATTTGAATAAGAACTATAATCAACGAATCTTTGACATTTTAGAACTTGGAAAACTTGTCTTAATCTCCAGTGGTTCAAGAGTCACTTCCCTATTCTCTGGGAATGAAAAATCAGGACTGAGGTATAATGCAGACTCCTAATTTTCCTTTTTGGTTAAATTCCACTGGTTTTAGTCCGATATGATGAGAGGAGCATATAATGATTTATTGCATTTGTTTTTGAAAGGAAGAAAATACAACTATACATCAAACTGTAATCTGTCTGATACCTGATAGATTTTTGGAAAGGGACCTAAAGGTTTGCTCTTCCATATCTGATGCTGATAGTTTCTTGTCACTTTTTTTAGTCATCTTAAGTTCCTATACTGAAACTGAGAATACTGAGCTACATTGTTAAAATATGAGGTATGTTATTGCTGTCCCAGTTCTTTTTGACCAAATAAACCCCATCAGATACCTTAAATCAGTGTAGTTTTTGGAAGTAATTCTGGTTTTAGAGGAATTAAATATAGATCTGTTAATTTGGCACCCTTTTCTTCCCCTAATAACTTTCTCAGTGCTGCTTTCTACTGTCATTTTCTTTTTCTGATCTACAAGCCAAAACAGCTATAGATTAAAGTCTGAGGCTTAAAACTTGACCAAATTTTAGCATCAATTAGCTAAGAAGAATATGCCAAGTTGAAAATTAATTATAACTGTACCAAATCTAGTAAATCATTGTCTAATTCTTGGTTTTCTCAGTTAATGTTTTGGGTTTTTTTCCCCAGTTTAGTAATGGTGAAAGTGTAATATGACATACAGGGAAGAAGGAAATGTTAAAAGACCATATATATATATATATATATATATATATATATATATATATATATATGTGTGTGTTGTCCAATTAATTGGATCTGCGGTGATATTTTTCATTTTCTTTTCAGGAGTCAGAGGAAAGTTGTTGCGATTCTTACTTTATTACACCTAAATATACTTTGATTATTTTGTACATAAGTCTGTCTTTGATTAGTGGAAAGGCATCAGTTGAAATGAACATACTATTGAGTACTTAGGATCATCACTATGGTTATAAAGCCACAATAGTGGCTGTAGTTCATTCTTATATTCATGCATGGCTTTGTATTTGAATTTTAAGCAAACAGCTTTTAGTTGTTTATCAAAGGTACTGCAGTCCTTTAAACTGTTCCCTGATGTGACAACTTACATAAGAGGTTGGGAGACAGAAGATTTTTGAAAGCCAAGGAAAATACAAATGAGAAAGGAAGATCTAGTAACTGCCTGAAAGAGCTGACTGCTTATTTGGCTCTAGTGAAGACCTAAAAGGTGACCTTGCTTTTAGTTAGAGGCAGATGTACTTAGGGCTTGTGAAGTGTGTTATGCCGAGGAAGGGGGTGAGAGGGGTGGGGGAAGTCAATAAGCAGTAAGGAGTAGTTGATAAATGTAAAGAAAACCTGAAAATCTGAACCGACTAATTCCTTTATGACTAAAACAATTGTAGACTGAGGCAACAAATGCGGTAGGAGTGTAGAAACAGATCTACATCAAGAGTGACACCTCTTGCCATCACAGTCCTGAAACTGACCCTTGCCACCCTGTGTCAGGGAAGTTCATTGCACAATATATAGAAGGAAAAATGAATTACCAAGAGCACCCATATTGAAATCCTACCCTTTGACTTCATGTAACGGGTGCCGCAGGCTACATTCTGCTGTAACCTTACTTGAAATGATTCAGTGAGCAATTAAAAGGAGACTGCTTCAAGAATGCCAGCTTGATATTAGGTCAGTGGCCACAGATTTATGGAACCTCAGCCCACCAGGATAATTGTGTAATTAATTACGGAAGAAAGTGGTATTTCAGCAGTGATAAGTAGTTGCCCAGAATTGCAATTAGTCAAAAGACTTTTAGTGTGGTTGTACTGAAGGAAGTATGTAACTATAAGAGTTAGAGATACCTATCATCAAGTAGCTAAATGTATGTTTTAGTTTAGTAGATTAGTTAATTAGTAAATTAGGTTTTTTAATTAGTAATTTTAGTTGATTATATTGAAATTTTCAAAAGGTTTGGATGGATGTCATGTATCTATGCTGTAATTACCCTATCAAGAAACCTGAAATGGTGGTTGCGATCAGACAAAGAAGGAAATTACCTTATTTTTTAATTCCATGTTTTCTTTTTTCTTTTTTTTTTTTTTCTTCTTTGTTTACAGTCTTGGAAAGACATTGTATTATGACATCTTTATGTTCCTATTTACTTTTTATAGTCAACTGGTGCCAGCCAGATGTAGGATATATGCATTGGACATAGTAGTGTCCTAGGCAACAGCTGCATTTTAGACTAGAATTAAAGGGAATTTCCAAGTTTGGCTTTTATTTTATTTTAAAAATCGTCTTATTTTTGATAATATATTAAATATGGGACATGATTTCAACAATAAGAATAATGAAAAACTAAATTAAAAGGGCAAGATACCTTTTCTAGTCATGCCATTTCTCTGTGACGCTGTTCACACAAAAGAAGAGTAAACTTCCTGTTTTATAGAAGTGCCTTATCTGACAGTACTGACAATTCTGATCAGTTTTGAGCATAAAAATTTTCTCATGAGAATAAAAACATTCTACACTTTAAAATAAATTAGAGCTCAACATTCTGTTTTGATTGGAAGCATATCTTAAAACCATAAGGTTCTGAGAATCTTCAGATTCCCCTTGAAAGGGGAAATCTTATTTTTATAGTAAGGAGTTATTGCTATTTCAGGGTATTATGTGACACACCTCATCTTCTTTTAAGTGACTTGAAAAGATTTGAGCTTTGGCGTAAATAATTTATTTGGTCTTTTAAAGGCCTGTTTGACTGGCTGATCTACTGAATCTCTCCATAGAAAATAAAGATTTTTGTCTGGTAATTTTTTTATGGCACAACATGGAAGCTATCTCTGAAGTACCGTGCCACATAAGAGGATTTTTCTCTGTCTCCTTAATCAGCCAACTAGTGGAATAGTCAAATACAGAATCAATTTTGTGGTACTATTTAAACTATATTAGTAGTGTGTATGATAGAAAAGGAAGTGCTTTGTTTCTGAATGTGGAATTTTGTCTATTTTCTAAAGAAAATAATAATAAGAAAATAAATTTTAGATTTAACAACCTCAACCTGCCATCCAATGAATAATAATTTTTTCCTTGAAAACTGAAAGTTCTTTATGCCATTTAACATGAATTTAACAGTTGCCAGTGAAGTTTGCATAGCAAAGTGCATAAAGTGACTCAACCCTTGGCATGAGCAAGAATTTATCTGAGAAATGCCATTGCAACTTAATGACCATTCTGTTACCATTTTCCCTAAGATCAGAATTTTATTTTTTTTCTTCTTTTATGCCAGTTATAAGAAACAATTCTTGTCACAATGGTTTAGGCAAAAACCCCCCATACTCCAAAGTACAGACTTATTTTTTGCCAGTGATATGTAGTTTATACACAGTAGGATTTAGCATATAAAGTTTCACATATAGAAATTATACTTCTTTAAGGTTTAAGTTTTTGTGTTTGCCTGAATTTATATCAATAAAAAAACTAAATTTAGTTGGAAAGAAATTGACTTTTTTGGAAATAAACTTAAGGCTAGCTAAATCCCCTACAAACACCTGTAAAAGTATTCTCACACTTTGGTTAAAGTATATGTTAAGCACCATTTTTTACCTTTTAGATCTCTGAACCTGTGCTGAAAACTACTAACATACGATAGCATTACTGAAGAACACCGATTTTTGCATGACAGGCTAATTAGTGGAAAATTTGTAAAGGTAGTTCAAAAATTGTCAGAAGATTATTTTTTTAACATACATTTTTGGGTTTTTTTTAAGTATTCAAAATCATATTTCATGCGTGTGTTATGTTCCATGAAGTAAATATATCTCTAAAATAAAGATTGTTTGAAAGATGGGATTTTTTTTTTGCTTTGTCTGCATTTGGGCCAAAGGTCTGCTTTCTATAAAACTTATGTCTGTTTTAACTTACACAGTAATTTCAACTACTTTGCTATATTGATTACTAGTTTAAAATAGTTTTCTACATCAGTGTATAAATAGCCCAATGAATATTTGGAAAATGACATAAATATTTTATAATATTAGGCAAAGAGACTTGCATGGCAGGAGTTAAGTAAATCCTACATTAAAATACCATCTTTGTTTAAGGAAGCCTGAGTATAATTCCTCAAATGTTTATTTGGTTTTTCACATATCTTAAAATTTTATATTTCTCTTTGTGTGTTCAGATGCTGGAAATTCTGCAGAGTTCAGTCAAGTGCATGTGAATAAAGATATGTGCATGCACACATGCTCACACACAGAGAGTTCCTAATTTTATCATCTTTTTTGTTACTTTCTTGGTACATTGACTTTCTACACTTTGACTTCCACTGCTTCACATTTGAGTGTGAACTTCCTGGGGGGCGTTCTTTTATGTTTTAAATTACTCAGAATTTCCATCTGCTTTTACTTGACTTGTGGTTGTGAAGATCATGCTTGGCCCATGGGATCTTACACTGTGCCGAGAGGATGTGGAGTTTTGTCAGCCAGGGAAATATGTCTGGCTTTTTTTTTTTTTTTTCTTCAGCAGCTTTCATATGCTTCTCTTCTTGTGTGGTCCCACTAAACTGAGTATATTTAACAGAAATACTCTCCCTCTCTATCTTCTGTGTGCTACTTTCTTTTAAGCAGACTGTGTATAAGAAATCTGAGATCCAAAAAATTTAGTCCTGACAGAAAGCAAGGTAGTGTTACATAGAAAGGTACTTTAATAGTTGCACGTTCCAAATTTATAACAGCATTCCACATTCTGATTATACACAAGTATTAGTAGACCTGCAGTTACCAATAAACATCCCAGTTATATCTTGGTTGAATATGCTGTGCTTTCTTTTTGCAGGCACTGCTACAATCTACAGTTCAACAGCAAGAAGCAGCTATTGAAAAACAGTATATACTAGCAATTGAAAAACATTCTCACAAATGTGAAGAACTTCTTAATGCTCAGGTATGGATGTGCACATACAAAAATCTTCATTATTTTCTAATACATCTAAGTACATCTAAATACATCTAAAGTCCACTTGAAGTATTCTAGCATTTCCAACAGTGTTTTATGACCATTTTACTGTTCTGACCATATCAATAAACACTTAGTGCAAACATGTAATAAATATATAAGCATCTGTATAAACAGCATGGAGGAAAGATGTGGTAGTTTGGAAAAATCAATTCCATCATGAATGAGGAGTTTATTGCACAGAGCTAATGTTATTTAATGCTTACCATAAAACTCTGCCTATAAAGCAAGTAAAAATTAATTTTAAGAAAATGCTTTGTGTTTCTGAAGTAAACATACTGTTTACTGACTTGGCATCATTTTCTGAGTGTTAAAAAGGATTGAATCTCATGAAATCTGGAAGCTTTATAGAAAGATTTTTTGAGGATGTACCCACAGATTGAGGAAGCATATTGCGTAGGACAGGAGAGTACTTATAACACAGTGCCCAGTTCACATCGTGTGTACATTTAATGAAATTTAACACTCCCTTTGGATCCCATAAAAGATTTGCATTTTCTTCACAAACTTCCAATTCATTTCTCATCCAACTCAATCAAGGTTTATCACCTTTAATTGTAATATAAATGTGGGATTTTGAAGCCTAATCAAGTAGACAAATGTGAGTGCTGATGGTAGAACTACCAGGTTTAATAAAATGGGATTTATACTGACGGATTTTGTTTGCTTCTAAATCTTTGTTGGAAGACATCTGAGAAATGTGTAGTATATTTTTATTCCTTTTGAATGCATCTATTCCTAAACGTGTGCTTTGGTGTTTGTTTTAACATTCATTTTTGTTCAAATTATTTTGTTCTGTAGTAATAGTTAAGATTGCTGAATTGTTTACTAATGATTTTACACCAAGTTGATTAATATTCTGTGTTGTGAGATTGTACATACATATCCACCTTTACATGGAGAGTCATGAGTATCTATATGACTGTAAAGAATTCTTTTTTGTCCCAGCAGTGATCACACAGTACAGGTATGTTCTTGTACACAAACATAGCTTTGTGTTGTTTTTCTTATTTTTATTCCCTTTTAATATTCTTGCCTTATAAGCAGTATTTTGACTTCAGACTTTTAAGACCACATAAAACTTTGTCAACCCACATTATTTTTTTGTCGTCATTTGCCATTCCTTCTTATTTTTCTGCTTTATTTCCTGTTTTATTTCCAGTTCCACAAAATCAAGATTGTCTCATGTGATAACTCTTCTCATGCTTTCTCCTAATCCCATTAATCCTAATCCCCTAAATTCCCATACACCTCCCTTCCAAAAGTGTCCCTTTGAGAAGGAGGAAAGTGGTTTTCTCTGCCTGTCTTTAACCTATTGTTAGAGTTTATTTAAGTTTCTGATGTTGAAGCTGTATTTTATCAGGGTGTTGTGCCTGTGATGGAGATGCATGTTAAAAGTCTGTCTAGAGAGGTACCATACAGCTGATACAGTCAGTGTTTAAGGTTGTATCTTCCAGGATAGGGGAAGATGTGAAAGGCTTGGTTCTGTGGTTCTGTCTCATTTTTCTGCTGGACAAATGTCTGCAGTTCATCTTTGATCATTACATGTGAAGTTTTGCAGCATACTGTCTAGCTATAGGTAGCATCATCATCATCTGCAGAAGGGAACTGTCAACCATCAACATAAATTGGTGTCAGTTCTGTATCTCGTTGCAGGTCTGCCAGCTGTCTTCACTGTACTCTTCTACTAGATCTAACTCTGTAGGTTTGTGGTTTAGGACACAGCTAAAATTACAGAAAGTTCTCAAAGTAACATCCTGAGCCATTTTCTATTCTGGCCCTTCTGACAGATGCCTTCCCCACCAATCCTAAAGTAAGAAAGTTCTGGTTTAGTTTCATCTACTTGAAGTTCAATATAGTCTCTGACATACGATACTGAACTGCCTGTCAGTGAAGTGTCCCTCTGTATTAGTTGTTATTACTATCCACTGCTTTTGAAACACTTGAGAGATGAGCTGGTGGTACCAGTTACTATTCAGTTACTGCCCCCAGATGCTGAGTATATCTACATCTATCTTTTTCTGAGTCCATTAATGTCACTTGTCTTGAATATCTGATCTCAGATGCCCCCTGGGTCTGGAGCTTATGGGTCCCCTTCCACATTTCCTGGAATATATTGAAAGTGCCAGTTCCCTCTAAGAAATTGATGATCACTGTAATGGGTGCTTCCTGGGGAACAATCTCCGGGACTGCTGTTTTTCAAGGAAATACACCCTCCTATCAACATTTCAAAAACCAAACCAGCCATTCTCGTGGCACATTCAGGGGCACCAGGGTCATGGTGTCCTTCATCAATGAACAGGACACTAAGAACTCTTCTCCTCTATGTCAGGAATCAGTCACATCTTATACTGAATATTTAGGAAAGCAATGCATGTCATTTGTACATTTCTAGCATTTGAGGGTGTCAGAGGAAATGTCATTGGAAAGCATAGTAGTTTATCACAAGTTGGAAAATCACAAATTTTATCCTTATCTATTTCTGAGACATAAACATATTTGGTGTTGCCTCCTGAAAATGAACACCAGCTTTGATCTTGTGGATTAGCTCATGTGCTGTATGAAAATACATACTGAAAAACATGCTGAACAAACTTTTGAATAAAAATTTTTAATACCCAGAAAATAAAGGCACATATAACAGCAAATGAATAAAAGTTCTTCAGTATAGTCAGGTATTGGTCAGTGCTGGAAGTGAGATGTCACATGGGCTGGAACAATATGTATCTTGTAAAGTATGAACATTAAAAACAGAAAGAAAAAAAAAGAACTCAAACAAAACCCAAAACCAAACCAAACATATGACAGTAAAATTTATCCCTCTATGAGATACTGACAAATTTAGATCATAGTTCTACCTTCTCTAGTAAGTGCTAGCAATCTTTTATGAAAAATGAGGCATGGAAACGGTCTACAGGCTATGCATACTTCCATTTTTAGTGGAAAAGAACATCATTTTTTTATATAGCTATCATTTAATTTCATTAATTATATCTCGTACTTACAGAAAAATATAGTTTCATCACTGACACCTTGTAAGTAAGCAATTGCCTGAGCTGGATTCCAGATGCAGCTATCAGAGGCAGGTATCACTGGCGATATTCTGCTGTTCCATGCTTTTATATGTGGAATAGACTGTCTTTCAGCTTTCCCTATTTTCCAGTGTTTGGATAGAAGCAGTCTGTTCAAACATCAAAGTAGGTTTTTTCTTCTGAACACAAAGACATAGAGACTGAATAACTTTAAAAAGCATAGATCATGAAAAGCACCATTAAAAGGTAGAGTAAGCATCTGTTATTTAAAAATTATTTACTATGTAGGACTTGGATATTCTAAAGAATTTTCTCATCAAGGTTGCTAGACCGTGAGCATGCTAATGTGAAAGGAATGACCTATTTTCACTGAAGCCCTAGAAATGTTGATGTATCAGAATTTTCTCTCACTGTTTAATTGAAGTAGATGGTGTTGAAAATGTAGACTATATTAAGGTTGATTTTTATATTCTTTTTTAAAACAATTAATGATCTGTGTATTAAGGTAAAATAAAATCTTAAATACCTGCAGCAAATAACTTCTCATTTATGAGAAATCATTTTCCCTCTATTTATCTGGCACTTTTCTTTCCTTACCTTGATGGTCTCCTTCCGTACTGTCTAAATGGTGTGAAACAGGCATTCTTGAACGTGTAGGGATTAAAGTGTATTTGAAGTGAGGCACAGGTCACACATTTCCATCTCTAAATTTTGACTTGACAGTATTCCTATTTTTCTCTGCATCTTCCTGAGGAAAGTATCAATCAAAGAGATACAACTGGATATTCTGTGTAGCGTTCTCATACTTGGATGTAGTTAAGGGGTTATATTTTACTGTGGTCCTTAATTATGTTACTCTGCATGTTTTCCATTTTGATTCATATAAAAGAAAAATTAAGAAAGACAAGGAATAGAAGCCTTTAGTTCTGTAGTTCAGTTGCATGCATATTCCTTTCTTGGGCTGGGCTTCTTTTCTTCTACTCAGAAAACCCTTAAGGATGTGCCTTAAGGATGTGTGGCCTGCAGTTTTTCTTTGTATAGAGTGTATTATGCAGAAGTTTTTTCCATAGTTTAGGAAGCCAAAGGAGCTGCTAGTATAATTGCTGAGACAGAACAGTACTGGAAGTGTCACACAAAAAGGAAAGAACTCTTAAATGCTTCCTTTGCACTCTTGCACGTTGTTATTTTTCATGGTGATTTTCTGTGAAGCTATGAAACAGATCTCGCATTTGTAGATGCAACAACATTTAAGATGAGTAGGGTTAGCCCTTGATGTCCTTAATTCTTTTTCCGCTCTACTTTATCATGATGTTGGATGTCAGTTGTATGATAAATAGTAGTTCAAAATCTTTTGGATGGTGCATGAAATCTTGTGCCCTTTGAGACATGCTCAGAGAAGTACTGGTTTAGCTTAAATTTGAAAACAGTTTGCTGAAAGGTCAGTCAGAATAGAAGTTCCATTTGCTAGAACTCAGTTTTTTTAAGTGTATGATGCTCCAAAGAGCATCTTCTGGACAAGCAAAAAACTGGTGTGACAATAGTAATAAGCTGCAGGAATGTGATAGATACCTTACCTTCTCCAGTGTTTGGATAATGCATTTTGATGTGTTTTGCATAGCCTTCTGTGAAGAGTACCAGTAAGTGCCCTGTCTATGCCTAAAATGTCAAATGTAAAGAATACTTGTCCTGTATAGTGAATTTTTGTATGACAGAGAAAATACTTATTTCATTCAGCAACTTAGTTCCACGGTCAGGAAGTATAATTTTCTATTATTTCAAATCTTTTTATATCTACTCATAATGTGCAGCATGTTTATATAATAATGCTTATTTTATGAACTTTGATTATTTCCTTCTTCTCTTCTTGTAAACAAAAGAGGTTCTATATTTCTCCCA